TTTTTAGTCATACGACTTCGTACCTTTTCTCAATAAGGCATTCTCATCTTGCTTCCTTTGTGACTGGCTGGCAGCTGGTCTCTGCCTTTCCTCTTCCCAGAATTCTCCTAGTCTGGCAACCCCACCAATACTAGCTGCCTGGCTACTGGCCAATCAGCATGATATTAAATTAATTGGAGTGACAGATCTTTACAGTGAGCAAGAGCATTACCCCACATCAGTTAATGATCAGTGAAACACAAATCTCTGCACAGAATTATTACATTTGTTCTTTTGTGCCAATTGTGCTAAGGCCCACATTTTTAAAAATAAAATATTCTCTAAAAAATATTTGCAGATGAACTGAAATACCTTTTTAAAATTTAAATAACATTAACAGAGAACATTTTTTGATAGTGAAAATTAGGAAAGGAGAGATATTAATTGAACATGCATATGGGTATTTGTTGAAAGTTTGCTAAATATCATTATTCTCAAAAGTGTAGGTATAGTTCCCCGTGCTATGGGATTGTTGACTACTGGAGCCAAAAACTCTCACTGCAAACACAATGAGTGAAAAGAACAAAGTGGTCAAATAACTTCAAATGCCATTGAGACTTTGGGGTTCAGATTGGTTAGACGCTTGAGTTCCACTTTTATTTTCTGAGCATGCTCATTGTAGATGCTGATGGGTTTCATAAAGACAAATTCTTACAAGAATGTTGTGTGCTTTGACCACTTTTATCCCTCTCAGTCCTCCTCATCCACTCTCCTTTTTCTCCCTCCTGCTAGCATGCTTCTTACTCAGGGCTCCCTTCTATTTCCTTATGTCCTGTGTCTGTGTGTGTGTGTGTGTGTGTGTGTGTGTGTGTGTGTGTGTGTGTGTAATGAGAGTAAAAATAGAAACACATAATGCTTGTTTTCTGAGTCTGGCTTATTTCATTTACTATGGAGATCTCCAGATGCATCCATTTCACAGCAGTTTTGTCCTTTGTGGTGGAATAAAACTCCACCATGTGTATATCCTGCATTTTCTGTATCCATCTACCTGTTGATGGACAAGCAGACCGTCTTCATAGTTTGGGTATCATGAATAGTGCAATGATAAAGATGGGTGTCCAAGCAGGTCTTACCATGTTGACTCTGTTCACCCCTGATACATGCCCAAGTGCTACAGCTGGGCCAGAAGTAGCTCTATTTTTAGGAATTCCACACCTGTTTTCTTAGTGTCTGCACCAGTTTAGTCCCTCTAGCAATAAGGGTTCTCTTTCCCTGCTTCTTTACCAGTGTTTCTTGTTTTATCACCATTTTGAGGATAGCTGTTCTTACTGCAGTGAGATGGGATCTCAGTTTCATTGGCATTTTCCATAAGGCTAAGCACGTTGGACAGATTTTCATATGTTCATCAGCCTTGTATGCGTTGTTGCTTATGAGCTGTGTGATCATTCACTAGCCAGTTTATTGTTTATGTTGTTTGGAGTTTTGTTTCATTTTGTTTTAGTACTTAATTTTAAAAGTTCTTTATTCTAGATAATAATTCTCCATCAAATGTTTAAGAAAAATTCTCCTGTTATGCATGCCACATTTTCATTTGTTTCCTTCGTTGTACAGAAAAAATTAATCATTTCTTTCAATCATGTTTGTTAGTTCTGGGTGTTACTGTTTCCTTAACTGTAGGGGTCCTGTCCAGAGCGTCCTTGCCTGTGTTTGTATCTTGAAGTGTCTTCCTATGCTTTCCTCTAACAACTTCAAGATTTTCTGGTCTTACATTAAAAAGCAAACTAGAACAGCAGTATTCTTTTTATTTCATGTAATAGTGTGGGCACACAGGATCAGCTGTGACTACATCTGGGGTTGGGCATTTTTAGTAAGTTTATTACTGTTTGAATCTCATTGGTTTATTTTAGATTAAGTTGCATAGTTCTCTTAATTTCATTTTGCTAGGTCATATGTGTCAAGAGATTGACCTGTTCCTTCTCTTCAAATGTATTGGAATATGGTTTTCAAAACTTATCCTAACAAGTTGCTGAGTTTTATTAAAACCTGTGGTAATGTCTGTCTATCAATCAATCTATCATCTATCTGTCATCTCTCTATGTCATCTTTCTATCATCTATTTACCATCTATCATACATCTATCCATAATCTCTCTGTCTGTCTATCTATCTATCTATCTATCTATCTATCTATCTATCTATCTATTGTCATCTTTCAATCATGTTTGTTAGTTCATAATCATCTACCTCAGCTAGCTTGTCTAAGAGCTTATGCATCTTGTTTCATCTTTAAGATGATGTGACTGTGCCTTTGGGAGTGAATGGGTGTGGCATGACTGTGGGTGCCCATGAGGGTCAGAAGTGTCATATCCCAGGGACAAGAGTGATAGACGTTTTCAACAGAAAAACATAGCTTGAAAACAATTCTAACTAAACATTGGAACTAATTCATTAATGCTCTTGAGAATAAATGTTCTAAGCTCTGTAAAAAACAAAAAGGTTTCCCAACTACTTGGTTTATGAAAATTTGAAGTTCATTTCCCAAACTCTTACTTTCTCTGGCCACTCTATTATGAGGCATGGTAGCCCTAACCACATTTAAATTCAATCAATTAAATGCAACTGGTGTAATACTTAAGTTCCTCACCACACTAGCCATGTGTTTGGACAGCACAGTTACAGGACATGTCCTTCACCACAGGAAATCCCACTGAGCTGAGCTTATTGGTTATCTCAGGAGCCTGAGGAGCAGGGAGGAATCATAAATATTGATACACATATAATTAATTTTATATTAACACTATAAGGCATCTTTTTTGCCAATTAATGTTTTGTCACAGTCTTGTCCTTGAGTCGCCTTTTTAAAATTGAATTTTATACAATTAATGAATACTATTTTTGTTTTCAATGCATCCTGACTGCAGTTTCCCCTCTCTCCTCTCTTGCCATTTCTGCACCACCACCACGCTCATTTTCATATGTGTATTTGGAAGTCATGTCAAAGCATTTCTCAAAATCAGAAAAAATTCCAATCATCCATGACAATGGCTCTCTCTTCATCCACACTGACAAGCCTGTCTACACTCCACAGGAGCCTGGTAGAGTATCTGATGCCTCTTTCAGGGGAGAATGACATAAACATGTGGAAATTGTAACATCTGAAATAGAGAGAAGACCAGTTCCCACTTTACTCAAGAGAAACTCAAATCCTAACGACTTTTATAGTCTCAAATAGCACTTTGATTTTTAATTTATAAAGGACTTGCTAAATAAGTAACATAACCAATGATTACTTTATCTGGCCTGCTAGAGAATTTATTCATCAAAAATACAGAAGACATAATTGTAAATATAAAGTTGGCACTGGGAAATGATTTATTTTAAACCTTGTTTGTAAAACATTCTTGGATTCAGTAGCTTTTCCTAAAGTTGGAAAAAGAAATCCAAATGAAGAGGATTAGGCATCTTGCAGAGACTAACATAGCTCACAGAGATGCCTAGACTCTGATGTTCAAGGTTAGCCACCTAAGAAGGTGTCTGTCAAGCAGCATTTGACATTCACAGTTTTACTGTGGAGGGGAATGAATGGCAGGAAAGACACTGTGATCACGGAAAGCCTACAATCACCCCCCGCCCAAGAAATGACAACAAGACACAGAAAACAGGTCAGCCTTGCTAGTAAAACCTCTGTCTGTTCACCTGCCACTTGCCATCTCTGGACAACTAGAGATAGCAGTCCAAAATGTGCGTGTGTCGGGAGGAGGTTGGGAGTTTCACTGATGGTACATTCGGAGAAGGGCTGACACAGGAAGCAGAATTGTCATGTTTTGTTTTGCTTTAATCTTGTGTACAGTACAGACCTTCTACTTTTGAGGTGGAACAGGACTGTATGGTCATCACCACTTTGGCAGGAGCACCCGTTACACTGGCTTGGAAAGGAAAGACCTGCACAGGGTGAGGATGTTGCCACCAGCTTAGACAGAGAGTCATTGCCAGAAATGCTGATCTGACTCCAACAAGACCACTTAGTACAGGAGATGGTAATCTCTGCCTATAAGGATACTCTAAAGTCCTTTATCTTATCAGGGTATTTAATGTGAAGATACTTGAAGGATTATTACCTTAAGCATCTTTGAATGAAGGCTCAAGTCTCTCAGATTTTTTAAGATAAAGGACCTTAGAATATTTTCCAGAGTCTTTGAATTCTGTATAGCCCATGTCCCACCCTCTTCCCCTGCTCCCTATCTACTACACCCACAGCTGATGTGGACTCAAGTGATAGTGCTCTCCATTCAGGTGCTCTTCCCGCCACTTCTCATCCATATGGAGGTGGGTACAATGTGCTGTTACCTCTGCATAGTGCATTTCTAACCTTTCCCTTGCCTCAGTAACTCCTTCTGGTACCGTCTGCATTCACGGATCCCTTACAGGACCCTGTAGTTACAGCTTGTACTGCCACCCCACTCACATTTCCACACTCTCTTTCTGTCTCCTCTCCTTTGTCAGTGCGGGGCATAAACTCCAGGGCCTCCTGTATCCCAGACAAGTGCTGTATCACTTAGGGACACCCTCAGTCCTTTCTTGTACTTTCAAAAGCCAAGGGAGTGTCCTTTACAGCACCCATGCTCCTGGAAATTTACATAATTGTATTTCTTCTCACCTACAGAACATTACAAGACATCCATGTGTGACATTTTCACCACTCCTTTTGGTTGTCTAGCACAAATGAGGCATTTCAATTAAGTCTTGGATTCAATATACAGATTTTATTGATTTTGCCTCTGATACTCTAAGATTAATATTCTAAGTTCATTAAAATTAGGTTTAGAACTATGCAAATAAGTCACTGAAATCATAACAATAGCTAAAACATTTGTTACTTCTTTTGTCCTGAGTCATGTGTAGACTCTCTTTGTATCTGTGAGTGTTATTGGAAAGAAACACTAATTTTCCTGTTTTACCAGTGAGATTCAAAAGTCAAGCTATCTCAGAGCAGGGAAGAGGAGGCAGTAAGACAAGACCACAGTTTTGAACTTTAGAACCTAAGATCGTAGCTTTGTCCACAGGCTGCTAACAGTTCCTTCCTGACACCTGCACACGAAGGCAGATTCCCATAGAGGGGAATCTGAGGTGGAGACAGCATGGAAGAAGGAGAGTGCATAGCATGGGCAGCTTACTCATCATATTAATTTTACCTGGTTGCCCTGGTAAGACAGGTTTTAATGGGCCATCTTTGTAGGGCTTACACAGTACTGGCCAAGAGAGGAAACAGTGTGGGGCTTAATGTGTTATTTCTATTTTGGTGTTTGGATCAAGACTTGGCTATGAAATGAACTGAAAACTGTGTAATAATGACAATGTGTCACTGTGCCCCTGCTGAGTTAAAAGCTCTACCAGTACTGTACAACTTAGGCAACCACATTTCTAAGATTTCATACACATCCTGCTCCACCAAATCTGTCAATCCATTCTATAAGGTCCCCTGATCTCAGGTGTGGGGTTGTGTTTTAGCTGTACAGTTCAGTGATAGGCAGCCCATGGCCACATACTCTCTGTATTTTGCGTGGTTGTGAATCTTTGTAGTTGACATACCAACATAGATGGGGCAAATTTTAAAGGCCTCACCTAGATGAAGAGTAATAGGTAGTCAGTGGCTGCCTACAGGGTGAGTTGGTTTTACCCAGGAATGAGTTCTCACAGCTGATGTAATCTTGAGTAGTCAGCCCTAAATACATGCACATAACAGCAACATAAGATGAATTTGTGTGTGTGTGTGTGTGTGTGTGTGTGTGTGTGTGTATGTATATGTGTGAGTGCATATGTGTGTACATATAACAATAGCAGTGATGCAACTATAGTACTCATGATTGTAATTCTAAAAATAAAAAATAAAAACTTTAAGTTAAAAAATATTGAGCACAATAAACAAAGACTAGGAAGATATGTTAAGGGATCAAATTCAAACTTGTAGAGATTTAAAAACCACATGGTAGAGATGAAAACAAATGATGTGTTCCCCTAACTTTTCTTCTGTGAACCAATTTTTTTTTGAGACAGGTTTTCTCTTTGTGGCCCTGGCTGTCATGGAACTGGCTTTATAGACCAGGCTGGCCTCCAATTCACAGAGATCATCCTGCCTGTACCTCCAGAGTACTCGGATGAGGCGTGTGCCACCATCAGCTGGATCTGTGTACCTATTTTAAAGTGAATAAAAATAAATAAGAAAATAAAAAATAAATCAGCTGTGATACATATACAAAATTTAAAAATAGAGGGCCTTGTAGGGTTTGGTAGGGCAAGTGTATAATCCCAGCACCTGGGAGTCTGATGAGGGAGGTCTGTGAATCACAGGCTAACTTATGCTACTTAGCAAGAAAACAAAGTGATATGTATTTGTGACACAGTCTTTGCCTAGAATGTTCAAGGACCAGTGGTTCCCTGAACCACCACTATTCGTTTAATGAGGAGAGAACAACCATAGGACTTGGGGCAGCAAATTTAACAAATCACATGATCACATCCACTTTACAGGAGCCTTGCTAGATGTCATAAATGGGAGAGTGTATGCCATCCACATCAAACACCATTTTACCAGTTAACAATTCAGTCCTAATGTAAGGCACTATTGTATGCTTTCATATAACCCACAGTAGATCTCAGTCTTTTGATATTATGAAATGCTCGATAATGGTGGCCTAATTACAGATATAACTAATTTTATACTCTATGCATGTTCCCATCAAGTTGTATGTAAGCATTTTCATAAAGCGAACAATCTTGTTCACCAGAAGAAACTCTTGAGGATTTGCTTCCAAGTGAAAGAATCTTTATTAATAAGAATGTTTACCAACAACTTTCTTTTAAATATGTGTTTTCATGTATGGAGACTTCTAGTTTTTAATAAGATTTATCTCATTGAAGATGTTTTTAAATTATTTATTTTACTAATCTTTGGGAATGTGTCCCAATATATTTTATATCATTTTTTACCATGACGTTGTTTGTTTCAAAAATTAGAATCGCCCTTGCTTAACAAGGTTTTTGACACTATCACTTTTTCCTGCAGTAAAGGTTGGCGTCTATTCTCTGGATGATGACTTAGAGCCAGTTACAAGGGGAACTGTCTTAACTTTCATAGTAAGTATTGCCTTAATCCCATGGCACTCCCCTCACAGATGTATGGACTGAGCACAGCTGCCCCATGGGAGACAGCTTTCTCAACTCAGCTTGTCAGGAGAACAAACTCTTCATAAGTGCTTGCCTGCCCATCTGCTTCCCCATCCAGAGTGGATGCAGGGCAGCTCCCTCTCCACACAGTGTCATCTCCTTCCAACCCCAGCCTCCAGCACTGTGGGACAATATAAATCTCTAGTCTTTAGACATTCACCTGGTCCCAGATAGTCTTTTATAACAACAGATAACAAACTAAGACAGGTGGGTTTTCTTACTTCCCTAAAGGACCCTGAAGGATCAGAAGTGGACACAATACAAGGAAACAATCATACTGCAATTGTCTCTTTTCCCGACTTCAAGATTCCTTCTAATCCAAAGTATGTAATACAAAATGTTTCCTGAAAAACACACCTGGGACTTTTTGGTTGTGAGGTAGAGAAGTGGTAAGTTGAGCCCCCTCCTTCTGACTGAGGACAGCACACTTGTGGCTATGTGAAGCCCTCCAAAGGAAATAGAAGGTAGGCCCCTTCTCAGCAAAACAGAAATGGATCCCAAATACCAGACACTGCCCAACATATCAAGAGTCTCAGATTTCCAGGACACTGAAGAAAGAGGATCACTTAAATATAGGCATTACTAGTCAGCTTTGGCAGATAGCAAACTGTGTTTCAATAAATGAAAACACATACATGCACACACACATAAACAGAAAACCAAACACACACAACCAAACACACACACACACATAGACAGAAAACCAAACACACACAACCAAACACACACACACACATAGACAGAAAACCAAACACACACAACCAAACACACACACACACATAGACAGAAAACCAAACACACACAACCAAACACACACACACACATAGACAGAAAACCAAACACACACAACCAAACACACACACACACATAGACAGAAAACCAAACACACACAACCAAACACACACACACACATAGACAGAAAACCAAACACACACGCAAACACACACACACACATGCACACACAGATACACAACCACAAACACACAAACACATACACACACATACACAAACACATACACACACACACACACACACACAGAGAGAGAGAGAGAGAGAGAGAGAGAGAGAGAGAGAGAGAGAGAGAACGGGGAAAAATGCATGTGGGGGTTAGTTCATCACTCAGAAATGTTCATCCAGGTAAACTCAGGATATTATTGGCCATATCCTTAACTCAAGGAAAACAGTTCTTTATAATTCTCATGTCTAATCTTTCTAAAATATTTGTTATCCCCAAATATGTATCTTCGGGGGCAGGGAGTCCTTTAATGGCAGAAAAATAGCCCCTGAGATCCCTACAGGGTGTTATGGCTGTTGGTTATAAGGACACAGCTATTATCTCATTTCAGCTTCTACATACAAACATCCAGTGCCAAAGAAGTGTTGCTATGACGGAGCTGTTCTTAATAAATATGAAACCTGTGAGCAACGAGCTGAACGTGTGAAAATAGGCCCCCTGTGTGTTAGAGCCTTCATTTCCTGCTGTACCCTGGCAAAGCAGATCAGGACTAAACATAACACCTTTAAGGACAGCTACATAGCAAGTGTCCCCAGTAAGTATTTTGTATCAGAACCTTGTCAAATCTGGGTAACTTTGTGTCAGTTATCTAAGAAGAGCAGTTTTCAAGCCCCAATTACACTTAAGAATTGCAAGGCAGATGACTGTAATGCCCAGAGAAAAGCTGTTGTGCTTTGGGAACTGGAAACACTGTGGTACACAGCAGGGAACCAAGGCCAGCTTCTGGTGCAGACTCCAAGGAGAGTTCTCCCCAAGTCTCACACAACAGCCTGAGATTAAGTATGTCCAATCAGACCCCAGATGCCAAAATGTGATGATTCAGTCACATTAAAGACACCAAAAATTGAAATCTTACTTTGGTGGTAGCATTGCTAGATGTTTCAGGATTAAAGGACTTCCTTAAATGGTTCCAAAACTTTAAGGAGTCTCATTTATATTGTCTTTAAGAAAACAAACAGAAAGAAGCCTTCTGATTTTACTCTGATAAATTTTCTTTTATAATTATTTTATTTATTTGGGAGAATATGATATAATCACATTATTTCCTCCTTGTCTCTGCTATCCCAAAAACTGCCAGTACATCCCTCCATGGTCTCATTCAAATTCATGCCCTCTTTTTTCATTAATTGCTATTACATTCATATCTATATATATGTATATATGTGTCTATACATATATATTCCTAAATATGGCCTGCTCAGTCCATATATTTACATGTATGTCTTCAGGAATGGCCTTTTGGCTTTGCATAAGGAATTGGTGAGCTCTTCCCTGGGGAAGGCTATTTCCCCCACTCCTGGCATTCCTTAGTTACCTGTAGTTCTTTGTATAGGGTGGAGGCCTTGTGGTCTTTACTCCCTCCACTCTGGCGAGTCTATTGTTGTTGTTCTTATTCAGCTCACATTTGTGCAGTCATGCTGGAGAGAGTGTATGGTACAGACTCTGATGTTTCTAGGAGACGAAGTCTCACAGCAAAACCCTGAACCTCTGGCTCACAACTGCCTATGACTCCAGAAGATCCGAACCCTCCTCTGGCTATGGAGAGCATCTACACTTGTGCATACACACACACACACACACACACACACACACACACACACACACACTACACACACACACACACACACACACACATACACACACACACACACACACACACACACACACACACGGAGACACATAAACATACACATGATTAAAAGAAAATAGATCTTTAAAGCTAAAAGGAAAGGGTGCACATTAGCATTTGGAGTTTGGGAAATATACATATTTTCTATTTGGCACTTTAATTTGACTTTTCATACAACCTATCACATAATGTTTGATCCCAGCAACACAGGTAAGGAAACAGATTGGAATTTGGTGAAGCAGCAGTGTATCAAACCTATACCACCCTGAAGCAGGGTTGTATCCACCCTTCACCACTGTGAAAGCTGTGGTTATCTAACCTACACCACCTGAGCCTGTCTGTGTTCATTATATGGAGCATGCTCAGCTAAATTAATTGTTCTAAAACAGGGTTCTGATAAAGTTTCAGATAATGAGTTATAATTGATACCCTTAAGACTCAGGCTTAGTAGAGATACACATACATCTCAAATGGGATTCTCAGGTTTGTGTAGGAGGAGCTTTGAATGGCTAAAAAATGAGACTGCAAATGCTAGAACAAGTAAACCCTTCTCCCAGGTGAGTGAGCATAACCCTTCATGGTGCCAATGTCAAAACAAGCACACCCCATTGAGACCACCAGATAAAACTGGAAATAATGACTATTTATTGGATTGTTTGCCTGTTTACTCAGCTGACAGTGAATATCACCTAAGGATCACCTGTTTTTATGGAATATTTGAGACAAACTTTACATGCCCGGTAACCCCTTCTTTCCACCCATTAGGCTTCAAGAGCTCCAAGATGGTTTGGGAAACAAGGCAATGGGCCAGCATTCAGATGCTCTTAAATTAAAAGCTGTAAGCATCGTTAAGGATATAGCATTAAGGAATACTATTTCTTATTATTGGCTTCTGTAGGTGGCGCTTAAGGAATGTAGCCTTGTGTTTATTTGGTGTTTCAGATTTCTAATGCACTTTGGCACTTTCCATCTGAGCCCTGTAATCACCTTACACAGGATTTGGTTTCTCTAATTTTATTTTATTGTGTGGTATAGAGAGGTATGCATGCATGCATGTATATGTATATGATGCGTTGGCGTAGGTGTGAGCACATACACATGGTTGTGCAGCCACACATGTGGATGAAGACCTTGGTGTCTTCCTGAAGTACTCCCCACTTTGCATTTTTGAGACAGGGTTTGTCCCTGAACCTGGAGCTCCCTGATTTGTCTAGGCCACCTGGACAGTGACCTCCAGGGACCCTTGTGTCCCTGCCTCCCCAGTGCTGGGAATGCAGATGAGCACAGCTCTCACACATGTGCATAGGCATTAGAAATCCAAACACAGGTCCCTTTGCTTGGACAGCAAGTAACTTACCCAGTGAGTGTCTCCCAGCTACTCTTTTCTCCGCCTTAATAAGGACACTGAAAAGAAATTAGGGATTATTTAGGGTCATAAAAGGCAAGTTTAGGCCCACAGACTTCTATTCTGTGACTAGTATGATTTTTTTCAATTTTAACACAGATTCCACTAATATTTTACCTAGGAAATGAAGTGAGCATCTAACTGTGTTGAATATTTAACTGTAAACAAACTGGGAAGAGGATACTCACGGCACTGTGGCTGCCATAAAGAATGCTGCCATACTACCCAGGGAGAGCTGAAGAACCGACAGCACACTCTGCTGTGTGCCACCCTGCTGCCCAGATACACAGATGTCTGTACCTCTACATGAAAGCATCACAAATGACCAGTTGTGCCAGCAGAGCCTGAAGCTCCTGAAATGATAGTGTGCTTACAAATTAAGATCATAATCATAATATTTAAATCAATAAAATATTATTATCAGTGTGGAGAAATTTCCAATGATGAAAATAGTATTCCCCTTCAAAATCAGGTGCTATTCTATAAAACCTCACCCTCTTCCCTTCTCTAGGGCACTCAATGTCCCTCTATTCTCAACCTTTGCCTCAGAGTTTAAGGCAGTCACTTTATATGACATACGCATTGTGCACTGACTGCATTCAAGTGTGGCAAGAAGCAATGTTGCCATAGCAGTAAATTAGACAAATTTTCCCACCTCATGGAGCTTATATTTGTTGTGCATAGATTGTAATGCTTTGTTTTCAGTTGTACTACAGAGCTATAGAAAGATATCCAGAGACAACTGACAACATAGCATGATACCAGCACAAAACCAGGCATAGAGATGTATGGAATAGAGGACACAGAAGTAAGTGCATGAAGCTACAGATGTCTGATCCTAGACAAAAGTCCCAAAGCCTATGCTGGGAAGACAGCCCTTTTAGCACACGGTGTGGGAAAGCAATATGCCCAGGTAGAAGAGTGAAAGTTGATCCCTGTCTTTCACCATGTAGAGAAACAATTCAGATGTGAAAATTTGAAACACCAGTAAAAAACAGAGGGGGGATACTTTAAGATCTAGATGTAGGCAAGGAGTTTCTGAATAGAAAATGAGAGCAAGAGTTGAAAAATTGACTTGCAAGTAATGAAAAGCTGCCCATGAGGCTGGGGAGACAACTTTTGATGGACACCAGCACTTGCTCTGTAAGCGTGAGGATCTAAGTGTAAATCTTTAGCAACTGGGTGGGTTTTGTTGTTTTGTTTTGTTTCTTGTTCTTGCTATTTTTAAAGCCAGTGTGTTGGTTTGAATGAAAACGGTTCCCAAAGGCCCACATGGAGTGACACTATAGAGGTTGTAGCCTTATTTGAATAGGTGTGGCCTTGTTGGAGGAAGTGTGTCACTGGGAGTGAGCTTTGAGTTTTCAGATTCTACAGCCAGGCCCAGTGTCACTCAGTCTTCCTGCTGCCTGCCTATCCAGATGTAGAGCTATCAGCCCCCTCTCCAGAACCATGTTTGCCTGCATGCCACCACGCTTCCTTCCATGATGATAATGGACTAAACCTCTGAACTGTAAAGCAGCCCCAATTAAATGTCATTCTTTGTAAGAGTTACTGTGGTCATGGTGTCTCTTCACAGCAATAGAAACCCTAAGACAACCAGGCATGTTATGCATCTCTATGATCCCAACACTAGGAGATGTGGCAGATCACACTGTCCTGCCAGCCTTATAGAAATGGCAAGCTTCCAGTTCAGTGAGAGACTCTACCTGAAGGCAATAGGGAGAGCACACTAGACAGCACCCTACATTCTCCTTTGCATGTGTGTACATGAGCAGGTGCTGCCACACACTCAGGCATAAACACACACACAGACCACACACACACACACACACACACACACACACACACACACACACACACAGAGAGAGATGGAACCATTCTGGAGAAGAGTGGTAGGTTCATAAGACTGAATGCCCAAGGAAACAATGGAGCTCAGGAATCTCATGAAACTAGGCTCAAAGGCACAGGGAGTTACCAGATTCCCAGGACCCCTCCCTGAGTTACTGTAAGCAATATACAATTGCTAGAGGAAAAGAGATGCTTAGTGGGGCTGCCTGGAAATTTGGCAGGAAATTCCAGGGATGCAGCTTTCTTGATTCTTTACCCACATTAGTGTAGGTCTTTTGTCAATTCAGTTGCCCCAAATCACCCCATGCTCCTGTGACCCCAGTGAACTCTTAGGTTCACCAAGCTACACTTGAGTAGAATTGTTTCTTTGATCTGTCATAGTTACTTTATCTGGGTGAATAGATGTTTGTGACTCTTCAAGAACTCACACAGCAGAGATGAACATGTTTTCAAGTATTCCTTGGCATTTGTACTTCTGTTTAAAACTGCATCCAACTCATTTACTCCTTTCTTGGTTGGATTGTTTATTTGGCATTGGGTTTTCAATTTCTTTACACATTCTGACTAATAATCCCAGTGAGATTAATGGATTGTAAAGATTTTCTCCCTTCTGTATGCTACCTCTTCAATCTATGCTTTACTTAATTGTGCAGATTTTATGGGGTGTCTGTATATGTGTGTGATGTAAGTACATACATAGTGTATGTGTGGCTGAGTGTGTGGGAGCACCTGCTCATGTACACATATGGAGAGGAAAGAGTAGGATGTTGGGTGCTTTGTACTGTGTTCTCCCCTATTGCCTTCAGGTAGAGTCTCTCACTGAACTGGAAGCTTGCCATTTCTATAAGGCTGGCTGGACAGTGGGATCTGCCACACCTCCTAATGCCTGTATAGGGGAAATGTTAGCCACGCCCTCTTGGGGGCTGGCACAGGTGATGCAGACCATGCACACTAAGGCATGGTCAGTGAATTAGCAAGACTTTAAATATGAGGGTCACACACAGGCGACTCTCTCTCAGGTCCATGGTTCACCTGGTTGTAGGAGACTGACTCAGTCATGTGAGTACTCTCCTATTAAAACATCTGTTCATCAAACTTGCACTGACTCTTTTGCGGTACGCATCAATTGTGCCCCATTATATGCCTGGTTGTCTTAGGGTTTCTATTGCTGTGAAGAGACACCATGGATAAGAAAAAAAAATGGTGCATTTACATAATGGAGAACTACTACAATGACATCTTGAAATTTGCATGCAAATGGATGGAAGTAGAAAAAGCCATCCTGCATGAGGTAACGCAGACCCAGAAGGAGAAATATAACATGTACTCAATCATAAGTGGATATTAGACATAAAGCAAAAGACAACCAGATGACAGGCCACAACCCCCAGAGCACCTAGGTAACAAAAAGGACCCTTAGAGAGACACACATGGATCTCCCTTGGAAGGGGAAAAAGACAAAATCTCCTGAATAAATTGGGAACATGGGGGGTAGGGCAGAGGGTGGAAGGGGAGAGGAGGGAGGAGGAAGAGAATTGGGAAGAAAATGTTTAGCTCAATTTTTAAAATGGCAAAAGAAAAAAAAAAAAGGAGTCAATCCGCAGGACAGGTCAAGGCCTGGTCCAGTGGACACCCTTAGGAAAATAGGTTCACTTTAAAATAATGCTGTTTTCCAACCTAGAATTCCTGCCCTTGCCATACCCTACCCCCATCCACAAGTGTAGTCCCTACAAGTGGTCATGAGCTTTGGCTGGGTTTGCTTGTGTTTCTGAGGTACAATTCAGAAAGATTTAATTGTTCCCACTGTTCTCATCTATATTTTCTTGTGTATTCTAGGCAGCCCCTAAGTATGCTTTCCCTACTTAGGAAGAAACCCCAAAGGGGACCCCATATTTCTGATATAACATGGTGTTTTCTCCTGGACTCCCTAAGACTTATGGTAGTGCTTTCATTTCTGTACCCCTAATCAGTAAGACTGTCTAAAAATAAAAATAATAAAAAATGCCTTGGGATAAGGCTCCCTAGTTGAGTACTTGCCTACCACATTGGAGGCTGTGGGGTCAAGGCCAATTTCCAAAAATATATTATGCTTTGGATGACCGTGTCCATCTAACCCCACCTGCATTGCTGTTTTCCTCCTGTTACAAAGTTAGGGAAACATTCTGAAAACTGCCAGATTTGAGAATGTCAAAGCTTTGTCCTAAGTTCCAGAGGTTCTGGTAATAGGATGAACTTGAAACAGTAGGGTGTGCCAGGCTCCTCACTGTTGTCACCTTGTTTTCTCCTTTTTGGTGATAATTTACTTTCGTGAACATAAATTGTCTCACTGTGACCGGAAGTTTGAGACCTGCTGGAGAAGGGACTGAATATGGCCCACATGCCTATGAAACGGAGCTTATATGGATGGCTTCAGTTACCAAAACACCTGGCCACACAGTGAAGGAAAGCTGCAATCATTCTCCTCAGAAATGACAGTATTTCCTGTCAACACGGGTGTGAAAACTGTCTGGACTGCACTGATGCCAAAGTGACCTGCTGCTCCAATTGTCATACAGATCCTTTTGTGTAGCATGATAAATAAAAGACCCAGAGACAGATACTGGGGTTCAAGCTTCAAGCTGAAGATCAAAGAAGCAAAGAAATCAGTCACTAGCTCTGACCTCTACCTCAGCTCAGACCAAAGGGGTGATTCACAGACTGCTCCTGACTTCACTGCTCCTCAGACTTGCTCAGACTGCTATGGTCTCCTCAATGTGACTGGAGAATCCTGAGACTAACTCTCAGACTGAATGCCAGCACTGAGATCCTGCTCCTGTCTTGTATACCTCTCTAGTTCTGGGATTAAAGGCATGTGATCCCAGGTACTGAGATCACCTTTGTGTGGGCTGTTTCTTTTACGGACTGGATCGATTTCATGTAGTCAGTGTGGTCCTGAACTAACAGAGATCTGTCTACCTCTTAATCCTGAGTCCTGCATTTAAATGTGTGTGCCTGGTTTCTGTGGCTAACTAGTATGGCTGCTTTGATATTTGATCTCCAGTGGTTTTAATAAATCATAAATGATATATCACCACAATTCCCCCTTTTGTCTAATACAAAAAGGCTATAACTAACATAAGAAACTATATACGATAAGTACAATAACTATATGCAATATTTACAGGCAATAAATACATCAACAATGTCTAGTCCACTTACATTTGACAAATTCAGAGAAAATATTTAGTCCATTTTCATTTGTCAAATTCAGAGAAAATATCTTCATTATCTATTCTATCTTGGTGAGTCCAAAGTCTTGTACCTAATTTACTTTCTATTCTAATTTGCATTATCAAATTATCTTTTAATGTCTTTCAACCTTTAACACTTTACATATCTTTAGTGAATTTTTTCTGAGTCTGGTGAACAATTAAAAACTATAACTATACTATCTAGTCTTCAACTTACTCAGAGACACGAGAAGGAAAAAATATTAACTGAGTAAGCAGGAAGTGTGCGCAAGCGAATTCCAAAAATGTGAGAAATGACAGGCACAGCTGGTTGCTTGGACAGTCACCCAATGTTCCTCTGCAATGTTGGGGCATCCATATTTGGCTTATAAGCCTAGCATATCTGACAGACGTTTCTGTGAAGCAGGACTTTCTACAGGACTATCCTGCCTTGTCTTGGCAAAGTTTGCAGTCACTGTCTTTGGTGTCCTGTTTGTCCAATTTGGACAGGATACTGTCAGCATTCGAGGCAAAGC